TGTTTCAAACTAATACCTGAAGTTAGTATGTCTTTGATTTGTCTATTGGTTGAAGTAATGCAATCCATTCAAGTTTCAATTTGCAGAAGAAGAAATAGTTTACTTTCGCAACACGAAACTTAAAATCGCAACGCGAAACCAAAATCGCAACGCGAAATGAAAATCGCAACGACAGAATCGCAATGCGAAATGAAAATCGCAACGAAAGAATCGCAACGCGAAATGAAAATCGCAATGCGATTTTGGTTTCGCGTTGCGATCTGTCGTTGCGATTTGGTTTCGCGTTGCGATTCTTCGTGCGATTTTCATTTCGCGTTGCGATTTTGGTTTCGCGTTGCGATTTTAAGTTTCGTGTTGCGAAAGTAAACTATAAATTCTTCTGCAAATTGAAACTTGAATGGATAAATTTACTTTCAACCAAAAGACAAAACAAAGACAAATACTTTCACAGTGTTAAAGAATACACAGTTTAGCAGAATTGGCAGCAACCGAACAAATTTACTTTCAGCAAAAGACAAAACAAAGACAAATACTTTCACAGTGTTAAAGAATACAGTTTAGCAGAATTGGCAGCAACCGAACAAATTTACTTTCAACCAAAAGACAAAACAAAGACAAATATATTTCACAGTGTTAAAGAATACACAGTTTAGCAGAATTGGCAGCAACGAACAAATTTACTTTCAACCAAAAGACAAAACAAAGACAAATACTATTTCACAGTGTTAAAGAATACACAGTTTAGCAGAATTGGCAGCAACCGAACAAATTTACTAAGCAATCTAAGTGAAATGGCTAATCTAAGTGAAATTACGAGTAAATTTATCATTAAGTTAAATATGGAAAATCTTAAATTACCTCGTTGCGTAGAGTATGAACCTCATTCTGCAACGATACTATCTCAGTAGAGCGGCAACCTCACCACGTAAAGTTGACACCTCCACACGCCATGCACCATCGTTATCGCGTAGAGTACCGATCTCCTCACGCAAGGCATTGACCTCATCACGTAACTCCCTTGACTCATCCGTTGAGGTGGAGGTGGAGAACAGGGAGATAGGAGTCGTGCATCTTTGCCGGTCGCCTATCATGAGGTGATGGTGGAGAAGAGGCTCGATGATGTGACGGGATAGGTGATGGCTCTCGTTCTAGAGGTGTATAGTCGTCACGATCGGGTGATGGCTCTAGGTGAGGTGATGGCTCTCGAATTGGAGGAAGTGGATGCTGCTCATCATCGTGCCATCAAAAAAACTCTGACTAGCTTGCCACCAATCAGTGGCAAGCTCTTCCTCCGTGGGTGACAGTCTTGTAATGGAATTGGCCTCCTAAAATATAAAAACTCAAACAAAGTTAAACGTTACTATTAATAACTTGTTTATATATTATATGAAAGTATTTGTGTTAACTTACATTATTTATTGTGGCATATGGTATTAAGTCTTCCCAATCCAACAGAGTTTTCCTCTTCCAGGAAATAGCCCTGGGAATATCATTTGACGTTTTTATTGCATATGTACGCATGCTGGGGAAAGCCTCGAATATCCAAATCTACAAACAATATAATAACAAAATTAGTAATTGTTAAATAATAATTATAATTTTAGAAACATTATATAGAAATTCTTACCTTAAAGGCCCAAACAAAGCCTGACAAAGTGTATTTGGACCCATCGCCCCGCAAACTTTTGCGGTCATCAAGGCAGACGACAACTTAGTCCAGGTAGCTTTCCATATATACGAACCCCACGGAAACAGATTCCATGCATTCAGGTCCTCTACCAATATTATTAGCTCCGATGAATAGGTTGTCTGGCCTCTCTGCCTAAAAAGCCGGCATACACAAGTAGTAGAAGGCATACTCGGACAACATCGACGTCTTCCATCCGAGTGAAACCAGCTTTTTATTAAATAATTCTTCAGGTCGTCGACATGTAGGTTCGGCTTCTCCATGACTCATCCGGAAAAACCCGGGATAACCATGATGGGCGGGCGATATGACGAGTGTACCGGCCTACATCATCGTGTCCGAATCGTAGACCAGTGATTAAGCAGAACTCCTTCCGCCCCAAAGCAAGTATACGCTGGTGGAAAATGAAACCATATCTCTTCCTCACCACGTTGTATACTGTCGGGTAGATTTGATGTCATGGTCTGAAGCCACAAATGGGTCAAATTAGCATCTCCACCCGGATGCTGTACTCTCAGCCATGGCCCGAAGCAGGTTTCCTCAAACAATTGTCTTTGAGCAGGTGAAAGCTTCTTTGCAATTGTAGTGGCCAGGCTGACTTTATTTCTCAAGGTCAATTGAGCCGAAAAAAATTTCTACAAAAACAATAAACATACCAAGTTAGATATACCAAAAACTACACTGTGAAGATATACCAAAAACAATAAACATAAAAAGTAGTAGTTTATTCTTTAAACTAAAATTTGCAACACTGTTTGTCTTTGGTTGAAATGAAAATCGCAACGAGAGAATCGCAACGCGAGATGACAATCGCAACGAGAGAATCGCAACGCGAAATGAAAATCGCAACGAGAGAATCGCAACGCGAAATGAAAATCGCAATGCGATTTTGGTTTCGCGTTGCGATTATCGTTGCGATTTCCATTTCGCGTTGCGATTCTCTCGTTGCGACAGTCATTCTCTCGTTGCGATTTTCATTTATCTCGTTGCGACTCTTCTGCAAATTGAAACTTGAATGGATTGCATTACTTCAACCAAAAGACAGAACAAAGACAAAGACAAATACTAACTTGAAAATCGCAACGAGAGAATAGCAACGCGAAATGAAAATCGCAACGACAGAATCGTAACGCGAAATGAAATCTAAGTGAAATGGTTAATCTATTATTGAAATGACCAGTAAACTTATCATCAGTTTCAATATGAAAAACCTACAATAATGCAAACATTTCAAAATAAAAATAATTAAAAAAACTAACCCTCGGAGGTTGATTTTCCATTTCTGAATATTGTGAGGGATTTCTGACCGTGAATGGTTGTGAGGGATTTCGCCGGAGATGGGGACGGAAATCTTCGGAGATGGGGACGGATTTCTTCGCGTAGAGAGTGAGAGATGGAGATGGGACTGAGTTGTGATTTTAGGTTTAGGTTATGAGTTGCGATTACGGGATTTTGTCTTAATATTCTTTTTGTAATTTGAAAATAAAATACGCGTAGCGATTATAATGGCGCTTTAAATATCGCGTTGCGATTTACGGATACGCGTTGCGATTTTATGTATTATCGTTGCGATTTACGGATACGCGTTGCGATATACGGATACGCATTGCGATTTACCCATACGCGTTGCGATTTACGGATACACGTTGCGATTTACGGATACGCGTTGCGATTATGTGTTCGCGTTGCGATTTCATATTCGCGTTGCGATTTTGGAAAATCGCAATGCGAATTTGTACTATCGCATCGCGATTTTCAAGAATCGCGTTGCGATTTTGGAAACTGATTTGCGATTCTGGAAACTGATTTGCGATTCTGGGGATCGCGTTGCGATTTTTATTTCGCGTTGCGATTTTGTTGGTCATTTTGGCAAATCCAAAAAAAGTTGGTTAAAATCGTATATTATAACTTTTTTTTGGTCACTGAGGCGATTTTCTCTATTTAAAATCCGACACTAGTAATTTTTGAAGTTTCGATTACACTACTTACATCGAATCAATTCTCTATAACTAAAAGATTAATAAATTATAAATCTTTGTTGTTTTGATCTGAAATCTGATTAACAAATCAAACAATAATGATGAAATAAAAACGAAAATAATATTTAAAATATTATGGTATCGTAAATAAAAATTTCAAATAGAAATTAATGAAATTATTTATTTTTTGTTTATTTTAACGTTTTCTTTTATACACGTGGCTTAGAGCTAAGAATCGGCAAAATCCTGATCCCTCGATCGGAAAATTCCACGTGGGAGCGAATAAGACAACGGAGAACTTTTTAGTTTTAATCAAATTTTATGGGATTAATTATGTTAGACGTCCTTCAATTATGATCCAAATTGTTAAATTGATTCTAAATTTTAATATATTTTAACCTTATCTCAAACTATTAACATCTTATCAATCAAATCTTTCTATTAATTTAATTATTAGTCTACGTATTAAAAATCAATTTAGATCTAACATAAAATATACTAAAATATATTAATCGAATTTTAAGTACATTTATACCCACAATACGAATATATTGGATTACGAGTTAATCAAAATAAATTATCCTCCTAAATTTTAATATTATTATTTTTCTATCATGTTAGATCCGAATTGTTCATGTAATAGACACATACATTTGAAAAATAAGAAAAGTTTAAATGGGTATGACAAATAAAACTACGAGTCTATCTTGAATAAAAAAAAGTTTTAACATCGAACCCATCAAGTGGTCTTAATAATAAAAGTAAATGTTATTATCTTTAAAAGTCATGGTTTCGAACAATGTACCTACAAAGTGTGCGTACGTTATCAATAGATTAAAAAATTCTAAATACATACTACTCATAATTACCCCAAATTATTTAATAAAAATTCAAAGTAGCCCGACTCAAATTATAACAATATATACCCACGTGACACAGAATGAGATGCCAAAAATAATTCCAACAAGAAATACATACCAATATCTATAAACATAATACACTTTAGATACGACATACGATACGAGTATAACACAACAAAATACATAGACACCGTACAAATTCAAAAGCTGGCATATTGAAAGCACAGTATAAATACGATTACAACAAAATAAAATTCATAAAATACACGAATAAGATTCGAATTCAAGAGTCCAGATACAAAAAACCACACACTTCAGATCGAGGAAAGTACGAGATCAGATACAAACCAATAACATCAGACAGAGAGAAGCAAATATCGAAACCAAGTCCCTGGCAATTTACAAAAGATCTTTCTGCAACTGCAAACTACTCTTTGATTTACAACCATGACAGCTCGGCCATATACGATTCCCAAACCTTTCCCTTTCTAATTCCCATGATAAGACAGGTAGGCACGCAAGTTTTTCTCCAGCTTTATGTAAGCAAATTCCACATGAAAACCATTTTCCTTGGCGTAATTGAACGTGGCCGCCCACTTTTTAAACATGTTACACATATCCCGCTCCATTTCATCGACTTTCAAATCTTTCATCTCTTTGATTGCAGCAGAGAGCAGAACTCGGATACACGGGTTGTTAATCTGTTTACCAATAGCCGTTTCGACTTCCATAGCAATTTGTTCCAGGTGGTTCGGAGTTTTCCCCCAGCCAGCTCTGTTCAATGCCTCTTGCAAGCCCTCGAAATCTTGAATATCCACTTTGTTGTTCTCTTTGTCATAAAGTCGGCTCTTAAAATTACTAAATTTAGAGTGTAAATCAACCAGATCAAGTTCTTTGATATCAAATGGTATTTCAGAAGCCAACTAAAACAACAAACATAAAAACATGTCATCAAAACAATGATATATTAGTGCTATGTACACCGAAAATTATTAATAGTATAGGTATATGTATATATCGTACCTTTTCTCTTAGATACTCTGAGCTGAAATCCTGAAATTTACGTAATAAATAAATAAATGATCAAGATGTAAACAAAGGAAAGTCTAAATAAGGTATGGATAGAGAACAAATTAGTAAGGTAAGATTTGCATTTTTTTTCCCAATTTCAAAACACTGATTCGATGCAAAAGGCAGTGCAGGACTCGAGCAGCAGGGAGAGACTCCTAAACATCAAGTTTTCTGGTATAATCATACTGAAAATCCATGACACTTGAACAACTAATTTCACACATGTTCGGATATCAGTTTAGAATATGATGCTCCAAAGTTTCTCAAAATGTATAAAAACTTGGAAAAAGTTGAAAACAGCTTTTTGCTAGGTATGAAAAGAGTCTAGCGGCAAATTTGCCCGTAGTGGGGAAAAATCCCTATATAATGCATCCCAAAAATTATTTTCTCAATTGGGGTGTTTTTAATAGTAGCACTGGGAAGACGCAAGGAGTAGTGGGCGTCTTCTGCATGTCCAGGGAAGACGCAAGGATCACCCGGCATCTTCTGCATGACAAAGGAGCATGGAGAGGGAATGCATGGGCGTACACCGACCATGGGAGCATCTGCGTCCTCATGAAGACGTCAACTGTTCCGGGCATCTTCTCCGTGATATTGGTCAAAAGACTACTTGAGAAAATAATCTTGGGGATGCATTAACTGGGGAAATTTTTTTCCCTTGTACATTATTTGGTTAATTTTTGCCGAGTCTAATCCCATGAGAAAGACATTATATTATGATGTCATTTATAAATAAAGTAATGTAAAGACACATTTCGACATAAGTATTGAATAGGACTATGACTAAATATGAAAAAAATTCGAAAAAGTTGAACATACATGCTTAAGGAATAAATCCATATTCAACGCTTGCACTCACATTCAAGTAACAGCTGAAAATGGCTTTCCTAAAACGGGACTAGTGCAGGGAAAGATGATATACATATAATGTGATTTATAAATGAGAATGTTCATCTTTTCAAGAAATAATAGTACTACGTTGGTCAATATCAATGATATGAAACATACATACCATATTCTTAGCGAAGATTGCATCAAGGTTCCTTGTTTTTTCCAGATCCTGAAAACCCAAGTTAAACAGTTAAATTAGAGATTTAGGTCGTGAAATCTAACATGGTAACTGGATTCGTCAACATTAGCGTACCCGGTTGATTTGTTTTAATCCCTCCCTCGCATTTTCAATTTTCTGAAAAACAAAGTTACGAAGTTAAATTAGAGATTTAGATTATGAAATCAAAATTTGAGATCTATGAACAGTAGCTTACCTGTAGGAAGTTATTTAACCTATTGTGTGCACCCACCAATCTCTTCTTTGCCGCTTCTTCTGTTAATCTACCTTTCTTGCATTTGACCAGTATGTTAATTATATATCGATTAATTCTTTTAAGTTCACCTCTCATAGCTTTCGAATCTGCCTTCAATTCTTGGGCTCTAGCTGTCCATGGCATTTTGTCGTAGGCGAGGAATAAGTCACCTAGCAGGGCCATCACCTTACAACATACAGACGGTGTCAATGCAAGGATTGAAGGTATTATTCCCTTCATTAAAAGGCACTTCATGAGAAAAGGATAGGCCTCTGCTTACAAAGGCTATAGTTCAATAATTTCAATTACTAGTTGATAGACTTTATGGTATTATTCCCTTTAGAAGGGAGAACTGTCCTCACAGTTGACAGTTGTATCTAATAAGGTGAGGGTAGGAATAACCCTTGCTTTATAAAGCAGAGTCCAATACATTCTAATTAATGTGGAAATTTTACCTTCGACATATATGTATATAATAAATAACAATAATGTGAATTGAATATGATGTACTCAGTTCAGGTAAGAGAATTTACGCTTTCTGTCCTTTTGGAGACTCGATCTGTCAAAATTTTCGCACTTTCCCCCACAGATTTCTCCTTGATACGGTCCTCATAACTCAGTGGCACTGCTTTACTGGTCGGTGCTGATTCACCGTTGACAATGGTTCTTCTGCGCTGGGGCTGTTTCATTTTGCCTTTTCCTTTAGGTTTTGATGAGTCATCAGAAACTAATTCCCGGCCTCTTCTCTTGCTCCCACTTGGCATCGAGCTCAACGACTTCACCTGGTTGTCATTGGCCAACGATTGTTGCCCATTCACCCCATGTTGGTCTCTTTTGTTGCTTCCACTCAGCATCAAGCTCAATGAGTTCAACTGCTGGTCACTGGATAACAATATCGCTCCATGGTGGCCTCTTATGTTGCTTCCACTTGGCATCGAGGTCAACAAGGTCTCCTGGATGTCGTCGGGCAGTCCCTGTTCTAGAAGTGACTGTGCAAACTTGTCTACAGACAAAGCAGACACATTGTAGTTGTCGCTGTCCAAAACAGTGCCAAGGCTGCCGAGCTCAAGCAGATCTGGGAAATTTAACTCATATCAGAGGAAATCATTAGTTAGAAAACAGCCAAAAACACTAGCGATTTTCCCATTTGCAGAACAAAAATAGAAAGAAGCAAGTAAAGGAAACTGAAATTTCTTTCAAACAATTAGATATAAACTAACAATACGATATGAAACGAGATTTCCTCAAGCAATTAAAGAAACCAGCATTAAAGGAAATTCAGCAAAACCAAAGCAATAAATGTGTACTTGGGTAGAAGGTGATGCAAATGAAATAAATTCAGTAGTACTTATTGCCTTATGTATATATGTGTGTGTGTGTAAACAGACAGGAAAGAACAAGGTTGCCTGGTGAAGGCCATAGTTTTCTTGGCCATTGTGCCTTTTCCACTTACCCAGTTGAAGGTCTCCTTGTGCTAGGTAATCAGAAACCGAAAGGTCGTTGGAAGGATTCAAATCAGAGCTGCTCATCTTGGACTGATCTGGGAAATTTAACTAAGGTCAGATCAAATCACTGAATCAAAAACAGCCAAAATACTATCAATCTTCCCCAATTCAGAACAAAAAAAAACGAAAGAAACAAGCAATTGAACAAAACCTGTATATTCCATCAAAACAATGTATATAAAACTATAAGCTAAGAAAACGAAAGATACGCAATGAAATGAAGTTTCATCAAGTAAACTAAAGAAACCATAAAAGGAAATTACACAAAATTCGAAGCAAGATATGATAAATGAATTAGTAAATCCAGTAGAAGCCCTTACTGCTTTGGTGTAGTGAAGAGAAGAGCGGAGAAGGGCCGGCTGCCGAAGAGTAAAGCGAATGAAATGAAGGAATCCATTGATGAAGGATTTTAATTAAAGGGGAATTGCCATGAGAGAACGCGCGAGATTGCAAGTTTGCCTATATAATTTGAAGCGCGAAGAGTTTTTACATGAAGAGGGTTCAGTCGGGCAACTCGAGCTCGCCATTGCTACAGTAAAACTGTGTCTGCCTTGCTTTCCAAACAAGTTAACCAAAGGAAATAAATATAATAATATGTATTTTTGTTTTACTATAAAATATATTTTAAGTAATTTAATTATTAGTTCGATTATACAATGCAATGTTTTCAAAAATTATAATTTAGTTATTTACTTAAAATATAATTACATACATATTATTTCATTGTTAAAATTAAAATAGAAGTTTAATGTGATTTAATATAATGTCAATTTTAATTTTTAAAATAAATTATATTAATTTAATCTTAATTTGAAATAATTCAATAAATTTAGTCTATCATATTTAAAATTTATATCAATTCAATATTTGTTCTTCTCTCAAATCATTTGTTCTTTTTCTAAAAAAAATCAGAAATAATATTTTTTTATAAAAATCACTAATTCTATTCAAAATAAAAATATCATAAATTCAATAAAGATTTATAATCATAATTGTAAATTAAGCATACAATTAGTATAATTTCCTATAATCATTGAAACAAAACTAGCAACTTAAGATCACATAAGGACCATACAAGGAAATATAAATCTAACCAAGAAAACTCGAACTAAGATAGATACAAACAGATCTGATCGCATTGGCAAACGAATCTAAAAAGGAGACAAAACTATGAAAAGATCATTGACAAACTACAAATTAGACTCAAGCAATATGAAAAACTATCCACGAACGCATAACGGGTATCCAAATTCTATCTAAGGGTCGAAAGCAGTAAAGAACAATATAACATATAAGCGTCATATTAATCAGCTATGGCGATGTCAAATCAACCCTAGAAAAATATAAGTGAAAACAATGGCTAAAAACTGAAAAACGTGTCAAAAGATAGAAGAAAACGTGTCATAAAGACAAATGAAAATGTGTCAAACATATAGACTTGTTGAAAAATAAACAAAATAAAATAAAAGGATAATAAAATATCGATGGTCGGAACCCAACATTGAAATTGGCGCCACCATCTATCAACAAAAATAAAAAAGAAAAGGGATGAACAACTTACGAACGAGAGAAAACAAGAGTTGACAAAATCTCTATTATAAATTTATTTTTGCCATACACTTAGATAATATAAACTTTCACGTTTTGTTGTTGTTTTTGAAACACTAAGAGATTACTTTATCGACCATCGACTAATCTTATCTCTAAATCATAAATTTTGTTACACAAGTACATCGTAAGAATGCAAATTGAGATTGATCAATCAAATAATTAGTATTCATTGATGGAAAGTTTTAATAAATATTTTTGTTGTTGTTTTATGGTATAACGCTTTTATCTAACTACTATTGATCCTATGTACGCACTTGGTCCAATTATATAGTAAAAAAATATTAAATTGATGAATTATTTAAATATAAAAGGTTAAATTTATCGAATTATTTTAAATTATGACTAAATTTATATAATATATAAGTTTTTGAGATTAAAATTATTATTATACCATACAATATTAATAGTCTATTTCAATTTTAACACATATTTATAATAATCCTTTAATTGAGTGATAAATTACATTTTTTTTTTGAAAAAAAACATAACTTGTTTGTAGCTGATTTAGTAATTGAATGACATGTAGTTCAACAAAAAAAAAAATTAGAAAAGCTAAAAATAGTTTTTGAGTTTGATTTGATTTAATCTTCACAGATCGCTAACTCTAATGTTTACCTAGCAACATTTTAATTTACATATTTCATATCTAAATAATTATATTTATTCAACATAAAAATAAATAGATATGTTTTTTTTAAAATATCTATAATTAAATTAAAAATCAAAGTGTTATGGTAAATAATTGAACTAAACCCAATTTTTTTCATGTATATAATTTACACTGAATAATATTTTATATATAACATTAAATGGATAATGAATTCGGGTCGTAAAATTAACTATACAATAATTCAAAAGAAATCAAAACCTCAGCCTGATTCAATCTATAGACAAGTCTAATGAACGATGTGATCTTTTAACGAGTATCTTTTTCTCCTTTTTTATTAATATGAGGTAAGTATAAGATAATATTTTTTAAAGGTAACTTTCAACTGAACACTCAAAAGTCATGATATTCATGATGCTCGAACCTAGAAAACCTCAAAGAACAACAACAATTATTTTACTATCGAAAATTTAAATACACGAAAATTTAATATATATATATATATATATATATATATATTGTGAAATATATACCCTTATCTATTTATTTTTTGAGAAAACAAAGCATGAAGTAAAGAAAAAAAAATACAGAATGAAAAACAAATTACAGATGTCACCTCTGATCTTAGTATGTATCAGTATCAGTATCATTACATATGCATATATGCATGTATGGATGGATGCATGCATGTAGGTACGTATGCCGGAATCATAGTTACGACAGTAAACTATTTGCAAACTTATGGAGCTAAGCCCGTGTTTGTGCCTTTGGTTTAAGAGGCTTAACCCCAAGTGAAATCCAGGTCATCGCGTCCGAAATGTCCGTAAGCCGGTCTTTTGGTACCTAAACTTGCCTCCTCTCTTCAAGTCAAAATTGGTAGAGATCATTCTCCTACTAAAATCAAAATCTTCTTGATTAGTCGCAAGATGTCCTTGTCCGAGGACTGGAATCTTGCCTGTCGTGTATGTGTCGACGACGACCGACAATGGTTAAGCGACACCAATAGCGTAAGAAACTTGCACGATACAGCGACGTGCAAGCCCCGATGCTACCACACTCTTTGCAGCTTGCCTAACAATATATGCACCACTACGGTCCACCTTTATAGGGTCCTTTCCTGAGAAGGCACCTCCACCATGAGCACCTCAGCCACCATTGGTATCGATTATAATTTTTCATCCGGTGAGTCCGACATCTCCATGAAATTCACCAATAACGAACCTACCGTAAGGGTTGAGGTGAAAAATGGTTTTGTCATCAAGATACTTTGCTGGAATAACAGGCTTAATGATCTTTAAGTCCCATGCAATTTTTTCATTGGTGAGGTCTCATCTTGTTGAGTATATCTCGTTTCGATACTTGACCGTCACTTGGGTCTTACTGTCGGGCTTCAACAATGGACATGTCCTGTCCTTTCTAATTTCAGTGAGCTTGGCACCAAGCTTAGTTGCAAGCACGTGTTAGAGGCATCAATAGAGGGTTTTCATATGTGGCATAACCGATCATGTGACCTTGGTCATCGGCTCCGATTTCCTCCGGTCTCTTCTGAGGTGACTGTGAACTTCTTGAGCGATATCGGGGCTCTGCTGTTCGATATTAACGAGAACGTTGCAATTGTCGGCATCAAGGCCAACATCCGCTGATGTGAACCCAATACCTCTGCAAGTATCTCGAACAATCTTGTCGTAGTCGACTTTGCGATTGGTCGTGATATCGCCAAAGACCATAACCATGTTTGTCTTGGTGCAAGTTTCACAAGCCACTTTGCTTTCTGGGTATTGTGTTTGAAATATTGATTATAAAATTACGTCGTTAGCACTAACTGAAAAATAAATAATAATTTAAATATTGAAAGTGTCCTGATAAAACCACTATCTTATAAATTAATTCGTTCCAATGTGTGTAATTTCTTCAATAGACGAATCGTCCCCTGAAGTTAGTACGGTCACTCCGAGATTTCGTACACCCGAAATCGAAGTGAACTGTCGGCGATATTACTCTTCTTGATTGAAAAGTAGAGAATAACTTAGAACACTTTTTGATGGTGGATTGTGAACTATGGAGAGAATTGAAAAGCTAATAAGGCTCAGGCTTGAAATAAAGGTATGAGGGTCTAATGAAAAATCAGAAATTAAAACCCTTATTATTATAACTTTTGAAATAAACAGCTTGCCTCTCCTTTAAATAAAGCTGGCAAATTAGGTTAGGTACATCTTAATGCATCGCACGGACGGTCAAAGTCACGTATTGCCACAGACAGTGGATTATGAAAGTCTTAAATATTCATTCCAATTGTATTCGCCATTCCGTGTGGGATTCAACATTACTAACATCCTGTTCTAGGCAAGCATCAAGGATTGCATATGAAACCTTGTCGCAAATCTTGTCGGGATGGTCTTCGTTCACAGATTCGGAAGTGAATAGAAAGGTACCCCATATCTGCAGTTCATCGCAACACAGAAGTCATACTATCATCATCAGACTCACATTTCACTTCAATTTCACTTAATGAATAACTAATCCTCCATTTCATTGCCTTATTCACCTCTTCAAACCTTACAATTTTGGACAATATAATTACATACCAGTATAAAATTAACTAAAACACGACATAATACAAACTAAAAATCGACGAGAATTCAAGCATCTGAGCGTACCTTTTGCTGAGATATTTGTTTGAAGCTTAGGTGGACACTCGAGTATTTTTTATAACTTTAAATATTATTAATACGAAGTAAAATACGTTACAATGACGTTACCCCAATATTACAATACTACGACATTAACTGCGGCTAGTTTACAAACACAACTTCGATATTCTAAGCTTTACCCTCTCTCTCATAGCTTTGCTAAGCTATTTCTCATTTTGGGTTTTCTAAGTTTTTCCTCATAATCATTCTCTTCTCACTTGTATTTTTTTCTTTACATTACATATATTTATATTAATGCTAAAGACATATATTTATAAGGGTATTTAACCTCCTTAATGAAAGATCTAGGCATTTCCAAATTCTTCTTGTATTACCACATGGAGTTCCTTGTCTTAATAAAATTCTCTTCCATCATCAATTGTCACATGTTTATTTTTCATGCTTAGTTCTTAAGTAATTCAAGATCATTCTTCATTAATCAAGAATCTTCTAGTTTTTGCCACCTTTTGCCAAGTGTGTTGTCAACTTTGATAATTTCAAACTTCATGCAACTTTATCATCTTGTTGCCTCTTTAATTTCTTTTCTTTTGTCAATATTAATTTTCATAATGTTAAAGAATTATCCATGCCTTGCCAGCTATTTGTCATATGCATATTTTCTAACAT